ACATAGCTACTGATATACCGTGAGTTTACGGTAGTTTTGATAAGTTTCACTTGGAGTTTGTGTGTGTCTTAGGCCATTTTGTTATTAGATATAATGTTTTGTGTATCATGTTTGCACGAAATAGGCTTGGATGCGGTTGATGAAGATGTGAGCTGAAAATAGCAGAAGTAACCACTAACGGAGCCACCCACGGACTGTAGGTCCAATGACGGGCCATGGGTGGGAAGTCATAAGTCTTGGTCAGAGAGTTGAGTTTCAGAACACAAACCACAGACTGACAGGATGGACCGTAGCCCAACCCACGGACCGTAGGTGATGCATCATAGGTGGAAGATCAGGGAAGTCTGACAAGAGTGGAACCACGGAGCAGACAATGGACCGTAGGTCGCCCCATGGTCCGTCCTGCACAACCGTCGATAGTGATTTGAAAGTTGAAGATTGCAATACCTGATGAAATTGTCTAAGTGTTGAGCCATAGAGGGACTTAAGGACCGTAGGTCGACCCACGGTCCGTAGGTCAAATCATCAACTCAAGTTGCATCGCAATAATTTATTTCCTTATTTTATTTCTTGATTTATTTAGGATTTCGTTTCTATAAATAGGAGTTGTAATCCGCATTTTGGGGTGTTAGACATTATTGTAAACTCTTAGTTTTTGGTGTTTTTGGGAATTAACTTGCAAACTTTAGCAATTTGATTTTAGGAATCGTTTGATACAATTTTCACTTTGAATTTCAATTCAACATTTGGGTTATCATCTATTCTACTTGTAAGTTCATGAATTTTTTGAACCTAATTATGAAATATGAATTCTCAAGCATACGTAGCTAAATCCACAACTAGGGTTGTGGGAACCATGAGCAATTAACAAAGTATGAATAATAAATAAGTAATTCTTGAATAGCGTTCATGCATGTATTTTTAATCCTTTCGTTTAGAAGTCTTTTTAACGGTGGCCAAACGTTTAGAACTCTCCTCGTTCCTACTTGCCGGACCAAGTAGGTAATGAATGAGAAACGAATTAAACAACATATACTTAGTGGTTGCTATCTAATAGTCTAGTATCAATTGGCGTGAGGGTGAAGACTAAACCATACATTGATATAACTACTGATCTGAGGTATATGTAAGGGTTAGTAAAGCATACACTCGTAGCAGGACCAAGGTGCGTAGTGAAATTCCCTATTTGGAGGACCAATCACTTAGGGAGACCTAAGTTACCAATTTGCATGTTAAACACTAGGAAATAATTACTTTTATTAGGATTACTGCGTTTAGAGCTTGTGGGGAACATTTATACCCTAGTTTCTCTCTTATATTGATAATTTAAAGTATGAATCTTGTCTACTTGTTACTTAATCAACAATCAATTACTTACTCATAGAATTCCCCCCTTTATTTACTTATCTCGGAAATAGTTTGACTAAGTGGATACAATAGTGGGTTTAATTTAAGTCTGAACCATATTCCTCGTGGGATCGACACCAACCTACAAGTTGGGTTCTTTATTTGACAACGATCGCTTATACTTTTTTAGGGAGGTGTAATTTGAGCATATCAAATTTTGGCACTGCTGCCGGGGAATACGGCTTTTAGATTAAGTTTAACTATATTATTGCACTTTAGTCAAGTATTTCCTGATTTTACATTTTCCTTTTGTTTTTATTTTCTACAGGTTTCTACTCTAGTGTATGCCAAGTTCACGAAGTCGAGGCGAACCTTTTGATCTCCTACGATCCAGAATTGAATAAAACTTTGAGGAGAATGAATAACCAAGGGGTACAAAACAATCCAATCAGAGAAGGTCTAGGTGATGGAGTTCAATTTCAGCCTCCTGCGGTTGTTGATGTGGCCGCTCAGATTCTTGGTGATAACCTAGTCGGAAATCAAGAAAGGGTGTAGAATATGCGCCACCAAGGCTTCATAATAACTAACGGGTTGACTACAATACAGTTGAATCCGAAGGGCCTATTGTTCTACCACCTCTACCTCGAGGGCATAGATTTGTGGTAACCAGCAGTCTGATGCAAATGCTTACAACATGAGGGTTGTTTGCTGGTCTAGCTTCGGAATATCCATATGGTCACATGGCTAAATTGAGAAGTGTCTGCAAGAGTTGAGTAGGGTGACCAGAATTGGATATGGATGTTATAGGTTTTAAAGTCTTCCCTTAATCATTGACTGGTGATGCTGCAGTGTGGTTTTTAGAGCTGTCATACAATTCGATTCATACATGGGACCAATTGCATAAGGTGTTCATGCTGAAGTATTTTCCAGTGCCTAAGAAGCAAAATCACAAGGATAAACTGAATAACTTCACAGTAGTACCTGGAGAGTCCGTAAGCAGTTAATGGGATAGGTTCACTGCGTTCATCAGAAGTGTTCCTAATCACCGCATTGATGATGAGTCCCTAATGGAGTACTTCAATAGAGGACAGGATGACAATGGAAAGGCTGTGCTAGATACTATTGCTGGAAGATCATATGGTGAGTGCACTTTTGAGGAGATCATTGAAAAATTGGAGAATATTTCCTGAAATAATAAGGCATGGAGCAGTACAAAGGCTAATACTGGAAGGAACACATTTGTGGTCCAGACTGCACCAAATCAAGCAAATGATGACATTCGTGAAGAGATGGCTCAAATGTGGAGAGAACTGGGGTTGGTATTGAAACATGTGAGTGAAGGTGCAGAAAAAGTGAATTTGGTAAACTACCTTACTAGAGCTCCACCACCACCAGTTGAGGAATGTTACTATTATGAGCAAACATATTTCGTGAATGATTAGACGGGGGGTTTTCGGACCAACGCCCAAGGTTCTAACTCGAATAATTGGTGCCAAGGTCAAGGAAACCATGGTCGGAACTATGGAAACTACAGTCGTGAGGGAAACTATATTCGGGATGAGAACTACAATCATGGTAATAACTACAACCAGAATAATTATGGAAACATGAATGATCGAGTTAGGCCCTATGTTCCACCTGGTAGAGAATCTGGTAATAGAGAGGCTGGTGGTAGTATGTCGCACATTGAGTATATGATGCAAAAGATGATGAAGAGGTTTGATGCAACTGATGAGAATGTGAAAGAGATGCGAAATGACTTGTCTGGAATTGGTCAAAATTATGATGCCCATGCAGTGTCAATCAAGCAACTTGAGTAGTAGTTTAGTAAGTTGTCCTCCACCGTGAACCCACATCAGCCTAGAACACTTCCAAGCACCACCATCCAGAATCTGAAGAATGATGGGCATTGTATGGCAGTCACTACTCGTAGAGGTAAACACACCGTTGATTCCCCTATGCCATTTGAGGTTGAAGTTGTGAAAGAAAAAGATGCAAATGAGATTCATGTTAGTGGACCGTCGATGGGCCAGTCAACTTTCAGTCTTCAGTCGCGAACGACGGTCGACCAGTATGGACCGTCAGTCGACTCACGGCCCATCAGTGACTCCAATAGCAGTTAAGTCAGGGGTCTTTTCATTTTTTCCTATTTCGTTGCACCCCTAAGCTACATCGTTTAGACCCTAAATTATGAGGTTTTGGTTAGTTTAAGCCTAGAAATATAACTATAACTTACCTTAGTCAAAATCATTAATCAAAACATAGAAAATTAGAAGCGTAGGAAGAGAAACAGGCGACCAACCCTAGTTCAAGAACGCAACAAGTTTCCTCCGGTTTCAGCCCTTAAATCGAAGGATTTCTCTGTGGAATTCTTCACCAGGGATGTATGATTTCACTAGTGGGTTCCTTTCGCCCATTAGGTCCCTAGAATTAAGTCAAATTCTTGATTCCGTGATTATGAACAGACCTAGGTTTTCTAGAATTTCAAAAGATCATCATGAATTAGGTATTTATATGTTCCAAATAAGATTATCATGTTATTTCTCAGTTTATTATATTAATTTTGAGAACCCTAGGTATGTATTTCTTTAGTTCTTTAATTACACATACTAGGTCAGATATTTCAGTATTCAGTTATATATCAGTATTCAGTTATATATCTCTCAAAAAATCTTTTGTAGTAACCAGCCAACCCCAAGAAACTCCTTATATTGGTTGGGGATGTGGTTCTGGGAAAATTTTGCATTGCCTCAATCTTTTGAGTGTCGACTCGAATTCCTTCACTAACACAATGTGGACAAAGAACGCCACGGATTCAGGCCAGAACTCGCAGCTAGAAAACATGGCATATAACTCTTGATATTTTAGAGTTTGGAGGACTATTCTAATATAACTAGCATAGTCCTCCACAGTTATTACATAAATAAATATGTCATCAACGAACATGATAACAAACAATTCTAGATACGGCTTTAATACTCTGTACATATGATCCATGAATGTCGTAGGAGTGTTAGTCAAACCAAAGGACATAACAAAGAACTCGTAATGAACATAATGGTTCCTGAAAGCTGTCTTTGGGATGTCACTTGAACTAATGATAGCTAGATCTGAGGTCTATTATAGAGAAACGAGTGGAACCCTGACATTGGTCGAAAAGATCATCAATTCTCGTAAGGCAATATTTATTCTTTATGGTGACCTTGTTTAATTCGCTATAATTGAAACACATCCTAAGAGAACCATATTTCTTTCTCGCCAATAAGACTGGAGTGCCCCAATAAGAGACACTTGGTCAGATGAAACCCTTATCAAGTAGATCTCCCAACTGCTCATTTAACTCAACTGAAGCTATTATATATGGAAAAGTAGATATGGGTTGAGTATTAGGAAGAATATCTATTCTGAAGTGCATCTCTCTTTAAAGAGGGACTTTAGGAAGATCGTCTGGAAAGACCTCTAGGAACTCACTCACGATTCAGACTAACTAAAGATATGATGTCTCAAAACTATTCATTAACTTGGAATAGATGATAGATATACCCCTTATAAACTAACTTTCTAGCCTTAAGGTATGAAATAAAATGACACTTGGGAACTGACGAACTACTCCACTCTAAAACTGGCTTATTAGGAAACTGAAACTTGAGTACTCAAGTTTCACCATCAATTGAGGCATAACAAGCATCAAGCCAATCCATTCCTTGAATAAAATCAAAATCCACCATATCTAACTTAACTAAGTCATCCATGGTGTCTTTGTAATAGACAAAGATTGTACAATCACGATAGACTCTTTCTACTAAAATAGATTTACCGACATGTGTGGAAACACTAAAGGGCTCAAGAAGTTTTTCAGGAGAAATGCCAAAACCCATGGCTAGATAAGGAGTCACTAAAGACAAACTCACACCTGGATCAATTAGAGCATAAACATCAGTAGAAAAAACTTTAAGCATACTAGTAACAACATCTGGCGAGTTCTCATGATCCTGATGACTAGCCATAGCATACAGATGGTTTGCTCCTTAGGTTGTCCCTTAAGTAGCTCTTCTTGGAGCAGGTCTGTCTACTCAAGCCACTGAAGAAGATTGGGCTCTATTATCGTCATTACCGTTTCTCCCCTTTGGGAAATCTCTCTGAAAGTTACCCTTTTTACCACACTTTAAAAAAAAAATTGTTCCATCACGACACTCAACTGGATAGGTCCTCCCACACTTAGCACAAGGTGGGCTTCAGAACCTTTGTGCCATACTTTCCCGAGACAGAGCTCTAAGATCGGAAAGTTTCAGATTAATGTTTCGGTGATCATTCCAGTTTCGGGGTGCAGGCACACTAGTTGATGATGGAGTAGGTCCAGATAACCTCTACTGAAAGGATGGTTGATCCCATTTTCAGTCTTCTACTGGTCGGACACATGGTTTGTTGTCCTAGCCCTCTTAGTTCGGTACTCTTCCCTGTCTTTCAGCTTATCCTCCTCCATCTGCTGCACATGAATTATAAGTATAGCTATATCCATGTCTCCTATAAACATAGTCTCTCTACCCTCCTTACACGTATGACGGGAAAGTCCGAACACGAACAAACACATCCTGCTCCTCATATTTGCCACCATCTCTAGAGCATAGCGGGATAGCTGAGTAAACATGAGGTTTTACTCCTGCAGAAATTTCCTATTTTAGATTTAAGAGCACCCTAACCTTAAATTCCCTTGGCTCCCGGGGGAAAAAATGCCTGAAGAAAACATTCTCAAATAAATCACAACTCAAAAGCAGTGCTCCCTTTACCCTCTTCAGCTTTCGGTGATAATACAATATCCTAGATATACCTTTGAGCTGATATGGTGCTAACTCCACACATTTTGCCTCAGCAACACATATGACCTCAAATACTTTGTAAAGCTCTTCCACAAAATTCTCCGGATCACCAATGATCTTCGACCCCGTGAACTCTGGGATTCATCTTCAATAACTCACGAATTCTGGACATATCAACCACATCTTGATGACCCACTCCTTATTGACCAGCATGATTTTTCAAAACCTGAGTTAGCATAAGAATAACATTCCTGAACTCAACATATGTGACATATCCCTGAGGGGGTTGAACTTCTAGTCTATAGGGATTCTTGTTGACCTTGATAATTGGCATTCCTCCTAACAGTACGTCCTCAAACAGCATTTCGTGGAGGCAAGATCTAAAAGACACGAATAAGCGTGAGTTAGAAGAGACTTTTATAGAGTTGAACTCTATCACACAAAAAAGAGTAAGAAGAAAGTGAAATTTTTCTAAATGTCGTAGCTTCCTCATTATAGATGTGGTGGGCTTCACACTAATAAGAAGGACTCTACTAGACACTGCTTCATAGACACCCTTCAACTCTTGAACTCAATGCTCTGATACAAAGTTTTTCAGGTGCCGAGCCTACACCCTAGATGTGCCAAACACTTGAAAACCATAATTGCTCCCAAAGCGAACCCTTGGATGAGCTGACTACTTAGTTGAAGACTTACACAATCTATGATATGCTCAACAGAATTAAATCAGTTAAACTGAAATACTCATCTCATTAAATTAGGAAAATACTCAACAACAACACTTATAGTATGTGAAAAAAAAATCAAAGAGAGTAAATATTGAAAGACACCTCCACTCTATCTATCTATGAAGCCTCTCTTATTAAAGAAAGATGTCGGGAAAAGACCCACAACATCTCAAAAGTACTAACTAGAAAGTAAATATGAAGTCCTTCGGAATGTAAGGAGGCTCCCCAAAAGATAACTGGACTATAGAGTGATCTCACCGAAACGCTTGCTTATGATCCTGAGTCTGTATCATAAAACTATGCAGGAGAAATGACATCAGTACATTGAATGAATGAGTATGTTATATAACTGAAGCGGAATAATTGAATTAAAGGAATGCACTATATAAAATATTCTCAAGCGAGAGGTAAAGAATAAATGAGTTAGATCATTTAAAGCTTTACAAAATACTTACTCATCTCTGAACTCAACATAATGAGTGATATATTAAAATACACTTTAACTTTATTGGGAGATTTTTGTAACCGACAACTATCAATATGAGTTACATGATGATACAACATCTCACCCACACTGCCAGAACATCTTATGCGGTGCTAGGGTATAGAACCTTTCAACTAAGTGGATCCACTAAGCAATAAGAATTTATCTAAAAAGTATGATTCTTTACCAATGTTTGTAGACATGGTTTATGGGAATTTTGCGTTGTATGAACACATCCCCATATCGATTCTCAATACTAATCCCAATAAATCTATTCTCATGCTCAAATATATAAAACATACTCTTTCTCTATTTTGAGGTAATTACTCAAAATACCCTCTTAAAAGAGGTAATTTTCTAAAGTATCTCGGAACTCATAAACTCATTTAGAAATCAAAGTTTCTCTTTTCTCAGTTTAAAAATGATATCTTTGGGAAATACTTAGTTCCTTTATACTTTCTCTCAAAAGATCTCTTCAGAATCTACTCAAAACTCTTGTTTAGTTTTCACAAAAATCAATTCAATACTATGATTGGTTAAAAGGATTTCTTAATAAATAACTCAATAATAAGGTTCGTGCTGGAAAATAGACATGAACAATCAAATCTAGAATCTTATGCATGATATACAACAACTCAACAATTACGAATAAGAATTCAGAATTTAACAATACTAAACACATCAAGAATACTCGAAGTCAAGGATAAAAACCATAGATTACTCTTGTACTGATTTGAAAGTAGATGTAGGGTATGAGAACGAACTAGTCCAATAATAGCCTTACATACTTGGGAAGAATAAAAATCTTAGCAAAATTGATGGAAACTTGAAGAATGCTCGAAACCCTAGCTTTTTTTTCCTCGCACTATTGATTGGAAGTGTTAAAGAACATAAAGAGGATGTTAAACACTGCTAAGACCCCTAAATAAGTGTAAAATGATCGGGATTTGGGCTCAGAAGGGGTGGGAAATGTCTGAAATACCATTAATTAACAAAACAACAAAGACCCCAGGTGTGTTTAACAGAGGTCATAACGGCCCGTCGCGAGTGTGATGGTCCACTACAGTTAGGCCGTCATCAAGATCTGAATCATTTGCCCAACTCTTGTTGGCATGACACTACTGTTGGCTACATGTCAAGAGGTTGACTGCTCGTTACATGTTATCATCTAAACATAGGAAACGCATGAAATTTCTGCATGTGTGACAGGCCAGCTAATGGTCCATCACAGGTCTGACGTCCCGTCAAGGCTTTCGTCAACTTTTTTTGACACTTAGCTCCATTTGAAAGGAACGTTTTCCTTTCCAAGTTGCAGGGTGTTACACGTGATGAGACTAGGTAGGTAGGGAAATATTAGCCCTATATATATTAGGCCTTTTTAGATCCTTTGGACAATTGGTGAGGTTGCTTTTGAGTTGGCTCTACCTCTAGTATTTTTAACTATTCACTTAGTCTCCATGTTTTGATGTTGTGCTAGTATGTTTATGATGAGACTTATGTGCTCTAGTATGATGCGGTTGAGTTGGATGATCGTTTGACTTTTGTGGGGGAGCTTATTGATATTCTAACCATAGATATGTGACGGTTCAGTTAAAGAGCCATTCATCTGGTGAAGGTCCATTAAAGGTATATTCCTATCAAGAAGGCTACCTAGGACACAGAGCATGAGGTGCAGGAGCAGTTTCTCGACTTGTTTAAGCCTTCAGGTACTTTGTGACTCTTACTTTTGTGGATAAAAGTACTTTTAGTAGTATATGTTGTAATGACCCTCCATGTCACTTCTATGTTAATACCATAGGTTCATTGTTTAGAGCATTCTTATAGAACTGGAACTGCGAAGTTACCTGGTCACTTATTTGGTTTTTATGAGAATTTCTATGTTTTTGAGCTTTTGAACCTTAAACGATCGATTTTGATCCAGGGTTTAGGAAGAGAACCTCAGAATCTAACTTTAGAAGTTCCACCAACTACGAAAGGTTCATTTTAGTATTGTGGCATGGTCAGCAAGGCTCCAAAAGCTTTCGGTGTGTGTTTGTGTGGTTAGACTTTTTGCTTTTATGTTTTGGCCAAAGTTTGAACTTGATCTACTTTCTTGGTAAATGTGTCTAGATGAGAATTCTACCAGTTAGCTCTAAAATATTGTGTTTTGTCTATAACAACCCTTCGTGAGAATCTCGAGTCTTCTAAGCTAATTCAATGCCCCCTTATGGATTTCGAATAAAATAAAGTTTGGGTGTGGGACCCACTTTTGTACAGATGATCTCAAATGAATGTTTTGACATCTCGGTTGAGTCCATAATATCAAATTTAATTAGGTTGCATATCTCGTTTGCATGCATGATTTCCAAATGAATTTTAAACACCCCAACAACATTTTTAAAGTTCCCAAAACCAGCAGATATGACTCAGCTAGTGCAGGACAAAATTGGCCTTTGCGTTCATGAGCACTGGGTCACGTTCGTGCAAACCAGAGGATCTGGTCACAGTGTTCATGAGGCGCATGTCGTGTTCACGAAGGGTTGGACCCCTCTCTTCGCATTTTTATGACCATGTCATGTTTGAGGGCACCCTTTTTCTCTTGCCTTCACATTCGTGGGATCTTTTCTGCATTCACGAAGGGAAATGTTGTCGATCCTTCTTGTTTTCAGGCCCCTCTATCTATGTTCAAAAAGATTAAATTGGTCTAGTCTTTATTTAAAAGGCCAGACCCGATCAACAAGGGGTTCATAACTTCAAATTGCGATATCTCCTCTAATAGAGCTCCAAATTCAATGATTCAAAGTCAATTGTGTTTGTGAATCTTGAGGTTACGTGGTTGAGCGGTCACGGCAGTGTCGGGGAAGCATCGTTGGAGGTAAATTACCTTGTTTCTAGGCTTCTTTAGCCTAACCATTTTTCCTTAGTGGTGAATTTTATTGCATGATCTGATTTTCGTTGTTATGATCCTCGAATTGTGTTCTATTTTGGAACAAAGGTTT